TTTTTTAAAATTATACGAAGTGTGAAGGGAAAAGTATTGTAATGTAAAATTTAATTATTCTCAAAACGGTCGAGGATGACCTTTCCAAGATTGGGAATGAAAATTTAATCGATTTGAGACCAGGTTGTTGTGGGCCTTTCCATGTTGTACGTTGTTCAATGTTCTGTTCACCCATTGTCTCTTATCTAGTGATAGTTTTTTTAAATGCGATTTTTTGGGATGGCTAGGAATATTGAGGAATAGATACAACATCACTAGATTTTGGACCAATTTGGTTCACCCCATCATGGTCTTACCATGCAAACATTTTTTATCTTTAAAAACTTTGTATGGGGGATATTGAATTAGGCGGAAAAGTTCGTCTTACAGAGTAAGATTTTTTATTGCGTTTGTTTCACCAATTCAATGCTTTATTATTTTGACCGAGAGACTCATCTCGATCATTGATCCCATTGATCATCTCGATCAGTGTGCAAAACAAATGAAAGAACGTAATATTATTTTAATGAATGATGAAATTGAAATATTAACCTCTGCCAATGTTTTGCTGTCGCAATTTTTGTATTCAATCATAAAAATAGATGGAAAAGATATTACTGTAGGTCGAAGTGTTAAGCAGTTGATGTCATGTGATTTTTTTTATTATGTTTTTGTATGAAATAAAGGATATTCAGAGTGTATCGATAATAGAAGAAATGATCATTTTTTGGCATAGAGTAAGTAACCTATGAAGATTGATGAGAAGAAGTGTTTCACGCCGTTTTTTTTAATCTTTTGAGGGGGCCGAGTTCAAATGTTAACTTTCATGATGATAGACCTAGTTTGAAAATAGTTTCTTTTTAATCAAAACACTGTGTAGGTGGGGGGATAAGTAATTATTTATTATAAAACAAACATGTAAAACGTAAATGTAATCGTAGTATTATCGATAATATCATATCTATTGAAAATATCGAGAGGAGAGTATGTTTTTGTTCAAACATTACTCATTATTTATTATTATAGGTCTTGGTTCAATCGTCTGAACAATCGCATAATTCTCCTAAACAATCGCACGATTCTCCTAAACAATCGCACGATTCTCCTAAACAATCGCACAATCCTCCTAAACAATTGCATGATTCTCCTGAACCTTCAGTGTGTTCAAAGTACCTCATATCCTGAAAGGAGATATAAACATTCCAATTTGTTATAACCAATTGGTGCAACAAAAAAGAAAAATTCAACAAAACCATCAAAATGCAAGCTCCTAGCAATGTGGCTTTCATTCGAACATCCAAATCCAATGGAAAGTTAACGCCGAAGTTGTCGGCGTCGGTTAAGTATTCGCGTGCAAATCCTGACCATTGTTTGCTTATTTTACCAATTTGAGTACCGTCTTTTGTAACAACCTGAACTCCAAAGAAATTCCATATTGCATATTCAAATTACGCATAATTATTCAAACGAACAAAAATCGACACTTACGTGAAACACAACATCATTGCCACAACAAGAGGTTGTACATAATGGCCCTTCAATACGAAGCTTCTCCTCGCCATGTTGATTTTTAATCGAAAATTGTGGATAGCAAATGGACCATTTTTCGACAACACGTCCAATTAAATTTCCAGGTGGTGATGATACTTCAATTGCATCGGGACAGCAAGGGATACAGCAACAAAAACACGCACAATCACATGATGGTCGAGAGAAATGCAACACTTCTCTTCGGGATGCATCGAAAATCTTTATATCGAACGAGCGATTTTCACCACAGCAGTTACGATTGCAGCAACCAGTATCTTCAACAGCCCAGAATACCTGGAACAAAACAGTGATTTTCGGCATAGAAACTTAAATTCCATTCTGTCTCATTACAATTTCACTTACATTCTGTCCCATTGAATTTTTGATGACATACTTGTTCTTTGTTTCGAAGCCGATAAATGCTTCAGCGATTTCAACTTTTTGCTTAATCAGCAATTGATCGACGGCAGTCAGGTATTCCAGCCCAGGTGGGCAGATTGGCATTGCGTTTGAGGTGTTTATCGAAGAAACTACGAAGAGAATGTGAAAAAAATAGAAAATTCAAATGAATCGGTTTCTTTGTGCACTCAACAGTTGTGACAATTGAAAACGACTATTGAAATGCACTTGACTATACACGAACACAGCAAAATGGGAAAATGATTTATCACTTCCAATTTTCTTATCATTTGTTATGAACGAAAAAAGAAATTCAGCTAAGGAAAATTTAAACAAAAAATACCTGGAGCTTGGCCACCTAATAGTGGTTGAGATACGATTACATCTGCCAAAAGAAAATGAATTCATCAAAATTATTTTCATTTCAAAAACTCTTCATTCAAAAGTTTTGAATTAAAACAATGAGAATGGAATTATGAAGACTTACCGTTACTGCCACTCAACTTTGGCTGAGTTCTTATCGGCTGTGATTCTGCTATCGGAACAGATCCGTCCTAAGGAAACAAATCACATGAGAATGTCATTTAAATTTCAATTATAGAAATATTCGATTCTGTGAGTGAATGACGTCCTTGATGGACAAACGATATTTTCAGTCGGATAAAGGAAGACATCGTGACAATCTGTCAATTTGTATAATTTGCAGCTACGTGCCACCTGTCGAAGGATATTCATGGTCTTTAATTGATTGTCCATTGACCAAGACAATTCATTAATCTGAACAGCATTTTTAACATTTTTTAAAAATCGGGCACTGAAAAGAGAGTGAAGAAGAGAGAGACTTTTGGAAGAAAAACACCACTCGGCATGAAATGCTTGTAAAATTCCAGATGTAAGTAAATCTTCAACAACCTAAACGACGTCGGTCAGACGAACAAAATGTGTGTGTCTGATGCAGACCTTAAGACGCTTATTAGAAATTGCTTTATGCTTGGTTTTATTGAAATATAAATATAACTTTTACTAACGTATCCCGGTGGTGGGGTACCCTCCGCCATTGAATTTTATGAATCTACACAAGAAAAAATATATTGAAGAATTTTTTATTTTTTATTAATTTTTTTATTTTAATTAAATTATTATTTTAGTGTGAATTAAGTTTTTGCTCAATAATAATTGGAACTGTTCACAAAAGCAGCACCGAATGAGTGGTCTATATCACTAAATATGACTTGTATTTTGTTTTTAAGTTGCTTGTACTCTTTTAAATGTCAAAATGAAACAAAAAACGTATATACACCGCGGTCCATATTGCGTGACATGCATTAAGCCAAAGAACGCTTGCGGATCAGACACACGCCGTAAAAAAAGCATGCCGCATCTCATTTCTTGCTCTCACTTACGGCGATTTCTGTAAGCAAGAGGTGGAGATGCGACTCGTTGTTTTTGCTCTCAGCCTCTTAAATATTCATTTGTTTGAATTCAGTTTTGAACATCTTCCGACACCTACATTGATCCATTCTATATTCATAATGATAGACCAATCATATCTTTTTTTCTTCCGAGTTAAATTTAAGAATAGATACATTTACTCATATTGTAATTAAGTGGAGACGACGATGGATCCCAATGAATTTGTTGTCAATTGATACTCTGCCGC